ATAAAATAATGTAGATAGTGCTATAGGAATTCTATCTCAATCTTCCTTTACAGATTTATAAATACAATATCAATTATAAACCAAACAATAAAAACAAATAAAAACATTTATTTCATAACAACATATAAGAAACTATCTTTTGAAGTTATGATGTTTATGCATTTATATTACTCATTGAAGCATAAACCCAATTTTGAAACATACAACAGTTATTCTGAAACTTTAATTTGCATAAAAATTACATATAGATCCTGTTAAAATGCAGATTCTAGTATATCTGGATAGGGACTGTGATTCTGCACTTTTAAGAAGCTTCATTGTGATGCCGATGCTGTAAATCTGTAGACAACACTATGGGCAGCAACGAACTATGCTGTCTGCAGCAAAGTGAACTGGGTTTTTTGAAGTTGTTGGCTTTGCTAGGTTGGGAAGATAGTTTCAAGTGTCTGATTTTTTCTCTAAACAGTACCTAGATGTTAACCGGTCTTTGTAAAACTCAAATGCTCAATTATCTAACTTTCCTGACTAGGAAGTTTGAAACAAGCAGGGGCAAGAGTGAGTGAGTGAGCATGTGTGTGTGTGTGTGTGTGTGTGAAAGTGTGTATGAGTGAGTGTGTGTGTGTATGTGCGCCCCATGCACAGTAGTACTTCCACACTTGCATTTAGGGAAGTGTGTCAGACCCTCTCCTGTGACTCTCCTCAATTTGAACTCACATTCATCCAGACTTTGAGAATTGTCAGGTTCAAATATATCCTATCTCTGAGGTTAAGTCCCAGCTCATTTCACACATTTCAACATTTTCCATGTGGATGCTGTTAAGGTTGTCTGGAATTTGGAGATAAGCCCAGGATTAGTCCTGCTTTAAAGTCATCATGAAGCCTTGTTATAGGCTTCAAGTTAAGTTGTTAAATGGATTTCTGAGAGCTCACTAAAAAAAAAAAATAATCACATTCACTAACTTGGCTAAGCTTCCGATAGCAAAAACACAGTGCTGTTGTTCAAAACTTACCTGCAGGCACGCACCTTCATGTTTGTACAGACCGTAGGCCTATGTTCTGAGGCTAAAACAACATTTGGTTTACCAAGCTTGCTCGAGAAAGAATATCTAAACTGAGAACTGCTTGATGAGACACTCACTTTTTTTTAAGCATTTTGATAACTGGGTGTACCCTACTCAAGCAGATTTTTAAAAATCACTTTCCAAAGTTCATAATTATTCAATAGTTACAAATTATCATAGTAATTTCTTTCTCCATTGCTATGAAACCAACTACTCCAGAATTTTCCAATCACAACACTGCTTACATTTTTGGAACTATGAATTCCAAGTGATATTAACCTTGTGTTATGAACACGGTTAATGTGGCGTTTCTTTCCTTTCTTTCTTCTCTATCTCTCTCTCTCCCTCTCAGTCTCTCTCTCTCTCGCTTGCTTCTCTATGGCCCTAGAGGACATAAACTATAAAGCAGTAATATTTGATTAAGTCTTGTCAAAATTTATTGCCCTTGGCCAAAGGACATTGCAGAATATCCAAGAGAGCTATAGTGCATACTGAACAGACTTTCAATTGGAATATATTTCTAAAAATAAATATAAAGTATAACATTGCATACATAATTTCCAAAAGGAAGCTAAAAAATCGCCTCTATATTTTTTTTGCTCTTTAAAATTCATTTAGCCTATTTGATTTTTAAAGAATTAGTGAAAGAGACTCTATCTATTACAGGATTATGATTTCTGGGGTATAAAAATGTATAAGTATTGTTTCTAGTACACACTATAATAACTTTTAACAGTATGGCTATAGATAATATAAAAATTAAAAGGAGAAGAAAAATCTCCTTTATCTTAGAGGCCCTGTAAACAGGAGGTATCTTAGAATTGCTTCTTTCTCTTGTAATATTGAAAATAATCTTGAAAGGAATAAACACTCATGTAAGAACACTCATATAATTTTATGTGAGTAACATGCTCTATTTATCATCCTTTTGATGAAAGTCTAGAATTAAATTTTTCTTTCATCCATGCAGTAAATTACCTACTTATGGGTAAATTAAGAGATTTAAAATTATGCAGTTCTGATTTTTCCAACATGCTATGAATGACCACAATTTGTCTTCACATGCCCCCAACTTCTGTTGCATATGGAGATAATAGGTAGGTAGATGGATTAGAATAGATAGAGAGATAGCTCTATTTATAGATAAATTCTATAGTGAGACAGATAGATAAATTCTTGTGGACTACACTTGATTAAATTGAGAGTATCTACTTAGTCTGGAGATTATCTATATTATAGAGGTAGGGCAGTATTTATTAAGTATAAGCCTGTAATTAAGAGCAACTACTCTCCTGTGTAGTGCACAATTCGCCCAACCATCCAAGGTAGCTCTCCATCATAACCTCTCTATAAGGAGTCACTTAAATAACTAAGGAATTACTTATCCCCATACTGATAAAAAATAAATAAATCTGAGACATAGGAAAGTTCTTTCATTTACCCAGTGTCATACAGTTAATAGTTGGTGATGAGAGTCTAATATTATATTAATTTTTTATATTTCCCATTATTCACAAAGCAAGAGTGATATATCTTATGTCCACCTAAATCCTAATTACAAAATCTCTGAGATACAAATTTGAAAGGACTCTTTCCTGGTCCATGCAACTTTGAAATTATAATGTATTCTAAAAGATACATTATAGAAGATTCTAATAGAAGTACTTTTATCAAATATTTCTTTCAAAGTTTACTTTTATAGATATTAATACATTAATGAAATACAATATTCAAAAAATTTAACCTTTAAAAATTTAATGATCATAAAATAATACTTTCAACTTAAGAGATCATAGGAATAGAATATCTAAGACTTACTGAAGCATTAAAATAGCAATCATTTTAATTTCCTATTGGATATTTTTATGTCAAAATCACCATAACTATCCCAAATAATCTCTTTTCTGTTGTCCTGCTTTACTAACACTAACTACATGGGCAGTCTTCTGGAATGTACTTCCCAAGTTACACTACACGCAGAAGAGTAGGACATCAGTTACTACTGTACCAAAGACGAGAGTGATTTGAAGTCAAGACAAATGTATACGCCACTATTACCTCTCTCTTTAAAGACTCAATCAAACAATACTTCTGAGAAATATTCAGCAAAAAATGTACAAACCAAAATTGTCTGCTCCCAAGTATTTCCTTCAATATTAGTCCCAGGTCAAAATTCTGCTGTAATAAATAGTTTACCAAGGCAAAGTTAATTATGTAGAAAATTCTCCACAGATACACCGTCTGAGTCTCTTAGTACCAGCCAACCAAAAAGACCATTTATGTGGTGATGTACAGTTTGAGATCTCTATTCCCTTGTTTATTCTTTTATATAAAAGCAAATTTTTAGCTTTAACACATTAAATGCCTAATTTTAGTCTGTGGTAATAATGACTATGAAATAAGTAGTCTCAATTAGAATAAAAAAGAAATCAATGTGTTACATAAATAAATTTTTAAATAATAAATTTCAATTTTAGAAACTGGCTTTATTATTAGGTAGTATTGAATGCACATCTTTCAAAGCTAGGAAAGGCAAAAATTGCTTTGAAATCAATCTAAATCACCAAGTTTGTAGTTTTTATTTATATGGAACAATGTTGGACAACCTTATTTTTGTCATATAAACTTCAACACTTTTTTTTTTTTTTTTTTTTGAGAAAGGTGAAGGGAAGATATGGTGGCGGGGGGGGGGGGGGCGGGAAGAGAAATCAATGTGAGAAACACTGATCAGTTGCCTCCCGTACATACCTTAATCAGAAATTGAATCTGCAACCTAAGTATGTGCCCTGACCAAGAATTGAACCGGCAACCTTTCAGTGTATGGGATGACATTCCAACTAACTGATCCACACGAGCCAGAGCAACACATAAATATTAGACAGATCCTGAATCAGTATTTGAAGTGAATCACTGAAGACAAGAACTCTCTCAAAGAAACCTGCAAATTAACACACCAGGCAGTTTTACAGAATTTTCTAATACTATGAAGAAAATGAGGTTATTTCCACAAATGAAATTTCCAAAACTTCAAGTAACCCATGTGATTTCTAGATGTATCCTCTTTTGAGACATCAGAATAATATACAGTCAAACTACTTTATTGCTGTTCTTTCTTACAGATACACAACATTGTTAAGCAGAGCTCCATACAATGAAATATGAGGTGGAAAATCATCTCCCCAAATAGATGAAGATCATTAGAAAAGGTTTTCTCCCCTCCATTCACACCAGCCAACCAAGATAGAATTATTTTTACTGCAGTATCAATAATCCCCACATTTAGACCAAATATAATTAATGAAGTCCTAATCTCAGGAAAGTTTCTATAGCTTATCTCCCTGTCTTATAAAACCAGTTATTTATCGGAATGCTAAATTATTAAAACTTAGGTTAAACTTTCTAATACTGTTATACCAGATCTTTTTGTTACTGTTCAGTTATGATAAGATAGCAGAATTGCCATGTAAAAATATTTGTATTTCAGTATAATTTTTAGTATTTATGAAGTAACATAAGCACAGCCTGGAGAATGTATCATACTTGTAAATAATAGAGTACATACTTTTCAGAAACAGAAGTAGATTTTATAGTTATACTCGAATATTTCACTACTCATGCATACTTACAGTAACATATTTCGCAGTGTTTGTCTCGAAGCTGGAGGTAGAATCTGAGTCATTTTGCCAACACCTGTCTAACTTACAACAGGAATGTAACGCAAATTTCTTATAGCTCCCCAAATGACAGCAAGAACTTCTCATTCAGTTTCCTTTGCATTTGGCCAACATTTTATGAAATCATAGCATAGACAAAACGTCGTAATCATCTTTCAGATAGGATCAAAATGAAACATCACAATCATCTCCTGCCTTTTTTAATCCTGTAATGTTTGAGTAGGTGACAACAGAATCAGATAAAATATTATTAACTGTATCTTACCTCTATCACTGAAGTCATCTACTAAAATGATTTCTGCTATCAGACTCTCTGGGGTTCGGTTAATTATACTGTGTATGGTCCGCAGGAGTGAAGTCCAACCTTCATTATGAAAGGGGATAATGATGCTGGTGTTTGGCAGTCTTTCCAGGTACATCTTGTGCTTACAACTGGAGGTGACAAAGGAAGAAAAAAGCTAGGTCAAATGCAGAACTATAGTATTTGTTATATTGCTCTTTACACATTATGTTATCAGACAGATTTAAAAGCTAAACTTTGTCCAATACTTCTCCAACCAGAGCTTGTACCCCATAATATTTACTCTCATTCCTGGAATTCATTAATAATTACTTTTCAAATTCATTCTTAATAATTACTTATCCTTTTTTGTATCCTCAAATACTAGGTATAAACTGCATTAAAATGTGTTCTTGTGAACTTACTATAATGGCTGAGTTATTTAACTTTTGCATGACTAGTCTCTCCAGCGGGACACTGGAGGGGCAAAAAAAGAATACCTTTTTCATAATGTTAACAAGAATTAAGTTAGGTAATCAATGCAAAGCACTAAGTACAGTATTACATATGATAATAGCAAGGGTATATAAGTACTAACATAATTGTTGTTCTGATTATGCTGTTGTTTTGTGATTATTTTACCTGTCAAGTTGTCTATGTAAAGAGGTATGGGACTAGGAGAGACAGGAACTGCACAATGAAAAGTCAGAAACACTTAGGATACAATAACGAATAAGCTAGGGTCTCTTCCCTTAAGGATACACAGACCAGTGGACAGATACATAAAATGATTAGACTTAAATGAGACAAGTGATATAATAAATGGCACTGAGACAATGAAAGCCCAAAGGAAGTATGACTAATTTTGCCTGAAAAAATTAGGTCTGTATGTTGAGAAGAAGCTCATGTAGGCTCTTGAAAGATATTTTAAGGAATTTGGACGTTAGCCTGCAGTTGATGTGAAGTATTTCACATATCGTCAATGACGAGGAGGACAAGGCCACGTTTGCATATGGCTCTGGCAGCAGGGCAGACAATGCATTGAGGACAGCAGGGACCACAGGCAGAACAGTGATTGCAATAGTTCCGGCAGAAAAGAATGAGGGTGCTGATCACAAAGCAACATCTTTGTGACAGTGTTTAATCTGATTGGATTCTATTTCAGCGTTCTAGCTCTTAACCTGCTGCAAAGGATATTGAATTCCCTCCCAAACTCAGCCATTGGAATCGTGAGGCTGTGGGTCCAGATGACTGCTTCTCAGCATTGTTAGAAATATTGAAGCATAACCAGGACTTTATTAAGAATCTGCAAACTGTGTATTTTAGGATTAACTTCAACTCAAGATAAGAATGGAAATTTGTTAAATATGAGGGCAGTGCAGCCATATGGAACTGTGTTGAAGAAATAAGTAAAATAAAAAACAATTTATATGTTTATGGTTACAGATACGTACCAAAATTACAAAGAGAAAATAGAGACACATCAAAACATTTGTTGCATTAAGTTTACAGAAATATGAATGAAAATGCCTATAATTATTGCATTTCATAGTGCTGCATTATTTTAAAATGAGCATTGGCATAACATTAACTTCGAATTTGGGAATGGTTCAGAGATGAGGACATCTCTTAGTTAAGCAACAATTTATCTAAATGGATTTTAAAAAAGCTTCAAATTTTAAATGAACTTGAGAGACAAAACAAATAGTTTACTTTCTTAAAAAGTTACTTGAGAGAAATGACAAATCATGAAGGCACTGTAAAAGTGGGCAAAAGCCCCCCATGAATTAGGCTGTAAACATTCTTCTAATCCACTTACAATAATGAAAATAAACTTCAATGGAAAATTTCTCATGTGCTTCTATTTTCCCAAAACAATGCATAATTTCCTGACATTCTCTATCAGCATTTAGTAAACTGAGAGGTTTAAAATATATTTAGTTTAAGTGCTTTGTTTATTTTAAACATACTTACACAGTTAGTTTATCTTTATTCCATTGGTTTCACCCACACACACACAAATAAGTTGTTTAACAATAGGAATAGGCCAAAAATAAACTTTAATTACAGATATATAAAATAAGTATGAGACTCATTTGTGATATATTTTTTTCTCTAAAAGAGATATTATTATTCACGCTGCAATGTCAACATTTATATGTGGGCTTTTGGGTAAAAAAGCACGTGAGGTCCTTAAGACCTTCACATTCTTACCATCATCAACATATTCTTCCTTACTGTGTAAAGCTGAAATTTAGTTTTAAATACAATGACAAAACCCACACTTTAAAAATTGAAACTCTTAGATTGCAAGAGTTGAGTAAAATGTTTGGATGAAAGTATTTGCATTTATTAATCCTTAGATCATTTTGTTAACTTATCTAATGCATGGCTTTTTTGTTTCTTTGTTTTACTGAATTTTTTTGTACTACTTATATTAGGCATATCAGTCATGATGTTATGTTGTACTTCTAACCAATGCCAAATCCCAATGGCTCAAAACAACAAATATTCTTTCTTAATTTTCCTGCTTATTCGCCCCTGGTTGGCAGAGTATTGCTGGTCACTGTAGTCAGTGCAAACAGCCACCATTTTGGCCTGTCCATCTCTCTGCCAGAGGTAAATGAAAACACTGCTGAGTCTCAAGCTGGCAATTAAGTGGTCTGTCTCTAAAATGGCAAAATGCTTTCTGCTTAAAACTCATTGGTCAGAATTAGTCTCACAACACAGGAGCCCAGGAAGTGATCACCTATGTGATCCAGAAGGAACATCATCAGAAATACTTGGCAAACAGCCCTGGCTGGTGTGGCTCAGTGGATTAAGCACTGGTCTGTGAACCAAAAGGTTACTGTTTTGATTGCCGGTCAGGGTACATGCCTGGGTTGCGGGCCAGGTCCCCAGTAAGGGATGCATGAGAAGCAACCACACATTGATGTTTCTGTCCCTCTTTCTCCTTCCCTTCCCTTCTGTCTAAAAATAAGTAAAATATTTTAATTTAAAAAAGAAATATTTGGTGAACAAGACTAGTAAACTCAGCCATTTCAGTCTTTTGTCTTCTTTCAAATAAAGGAAACTGTTAGACTGCATTTTAAGAAAAATTAACAAGGTTTGATTTCTTTGTAGACAAAAAAAATTAAAATACTTAAGGTTCTACATCTAAAGAAGTTCATTTCATGTAAAGATATCAATTCATCAAAAATACATGGCAAAACAAAATGTTTTATGCACCTAATAACAGAGTTTCCAAATATATGAAGCAAAAGTTTATAAAAAAGCAAGGAAGTAAAGATAATTTCATAGTTACTATAAGAAATTGACTCTTTATTTTGCTCCTCTTTTTCCAGTTTCTTAAGGTAAAGTCTTGAAATACTGATTTGAGGCCTTTGTTCTTTATTTTTATAAGCAATGAATGATAGAAGGTTAGAAAGGTTCCATTCTATGAATTGTTTGAAATACATAAAATTTTTTAAAAGTTTTATTTTTGTTCATTTCAAAATATTTTCAAATTTCCATTAAACTTCTTTTTGAAACATTTATCAAAATATGTTTTACATGTATACATGTTTAGTAATTGCCTTGCTATTTTTTTGTTAATTTTTAATCCAATTGTATTATGATAAAAGAATATACTTGTAAGATTTCAATTTTATAAAATCTGCTGTATTTGTTGGATAACCCAGGTTATGGCCTACCTTGATGGAACGTTCCACGCACACTTAGGAATATGTACACTGCTGTTGCTAGGTGGAGTGCTTTCCCTTTGTGTTCTTTGTCATTTATTCTTTCCATTAAAATAAGAAATATATATTTCTCATGTGAGACAAATAAAATTTGGAACATATTTCAGATAATGCTGAATATGTTAAAACGTTATTGCATAGTAATGGTGATAGTAAACATGCAGGAATCATTATTTTGAGTTTGCCTTAGAGTCCACATTCTAAATAGTTATAATTTTTATGCCATTTTATAGTAATCACTATAGTTCTCTGAAATGCTGATAAAAAAATGCCAATTCAGTTCCAGTCAGTTTCATTAAGCTATATGTGGGAGGGAAACCAATTTTAAATACGATTTGTGACTTCACAGCTACAGCAAAAATGGTTTTTTGGGTGTACATTTAGACTACCTTTTGATACATTTACAAGTAGTGGTGTCAACACCTTGGACACTTCATGAATTAATTAATTAATTAATTAGGTAAGTAATTAACTTATGGCCTTTTGGTTTATCAAAAATCTTATGAAGTGGCTTTACTCATAAGAGATGGCAGTAAAGGAAGTGGAATTCTATGAAGTATGTTTTAAAAAAGACTTCCTAAACAAGGTTATCAGAATAGCTAAGTATATTGTAATTAGTAAACCAAAAAAAAAAAAAAAAGTTTTTAATCTTCTCAAGGGAATCACTTACGTTCAGAAAGGGGAGAAAACTACTTTGAATTTTTCTTCATTGTATGATTTCATGCAAAAACCATTGTGGTTCAGCTAAAGTTCTCTTGGCCCCATTTCTCCATAGCAGCAGAATAAAATGTCAGCTTGGCATCTGGCTAGTGACAGGCATACTATAAAGCCTGTCTGTATAGGTCATTTCCAAGCACCAATTTACATAATTGTTTTAATGTCAGCGTATTCAATTTTCAATGGCTGGTTTTAGTCACACTGTTTTCCCATTCTAATCTGGCCATGTCAGTTGGGGTTGATAGAAGAGTGATAACTGGTCATTTATTTTTCTTTGACAGGCCTGATAAATTAGTTTGGACTGCTGTGTATACGTGAGTGTGCTTGAGTGTGTGTGCCTGTTGAGGGGAAGTAATCACTATTTGGTCACATAATACACAGGATCTTATTTGTAAGTTAATATTTCATATGGCAATAGGATTAACACTTTAATGTACTGTGATATTCTGTGCCTGTCCTAAGGAACAAAAGGGTATGATTGTTCAGACAGCTATGTGTTCATCGTGGCATTATGGGAGAAGTGTAGTGAACACAGGGAAGAGAAAAAGTCGAAGGTGACGCAGAGATCAGAATGCAGAGGTCAGTGTTTTCTGAACTATTATTTTTAGGGCCATAGGCAGTCTTTTAAGTATTTAAGATGGGGGAATAAAATGATCTGCCTTAGTTCTTAATGCTCACTATTACTTACTTTGCAAAATGTAAGAACGAGTGTGTAAGGTCCAATTATGAGGTTATTCTAAAATTGAAATTAAAAGAAGATAATGGATATAGTTGAGACTTAGGGAAGTGCACTCGAGATACATTTTGGCATTACCTTTTAGAGACAGATTTAATAACAGGCAAAGAAAGAGACCTTAGGAACATACTAATGTACCGATGGCTATACTAATTTGCATAAGCTAGCTCATAAAAATGATTGAAAGGTACTAACTTGAATATAAATTTTGAAAAGTTATTTCCCTCTGTTGTTTCTGATTATCCCTCCCCCAATATATGGCTAATGATATAACTGTTTTTCTTTCTATAGCCATATTTAGACATACCTTAGGCTGGCAGAGCATTTGATCCAAAGGAAATGTTTCCCATCTCCCTCTGTTGTTTTAGCTTAGTTTCCTTCAAAATTCATTTGTAAACTTGGTGAAAGAAGATACTTTATCGACTTCACAAGTAAATAATAATAAAAACATGAAAGGAAGCTAGTGTCCCTCAAAGTTCTATGTAGTTTTTTAAATAGAGATTTTAAAAAATGAACATTTTGGGGTGGTTACATTCAAATACTTGTGTGAATGCTTCCTCACATTCAATAGACAAGTGTCCAAACAGTCAAATAATACTTTTGTATTTTGCATAAAATCTAAAAAAATCATTGTAAACATATTCACTAATTCATAGTTAAAAGAATTTGGACACATATATTTATTTTCCTCAAAGTCAAAATTGATTCAAAAAATTAATTGTTTTTACAATTCAAAATTATAGTTTAGCTTGTCTTATTATGATTTATATCTTCATGGTAAAATTGGAAGAGAAGGAAGGAAATCAGAAAGATTATCATATGAAGGAAAAAAGATAACTGAATATACCATGCTGTAACTGATTTGGTAAACCTGGTCTCAACTTCAGTAATCTTAGTATATGAACAGAGACACGAATAAAGTGAGTATCTCCACTTTGAAGTGTAAATAAAAAATTCAAAATGAAAATCAATTTGTTCAGCACTGTAATGCTAGTTATGGAAGTCAAAATTTTTAGAATTATTATCTAACACTATTTCCAGAAAGCAGAAATGTTTAGACAGTAAGGCACTGACATTTTAAAAATTGACTCAAAAGTCTGTATATGCTGAGAAATGTCTTTTCTCCTTATATACAAAATAGATATTGTGCACTATTCATCTAGAGAGGAGATGCCGTTCCTCTCAATGGAGATTCTCAGACAGGGAAGCAGTCACTAGATTAACACTGCTGGCCTCTTCCCACCTACATATACATTCTTTCCAGGAGAAAGGATGAGTCTGAGTTACGGAGCTTACCATGCTTGGCTCAGCTCCTCCTCCCTCTTTCTGTTCTGGAATCTGCTTGTGGGCAGAGATCAGACATATACCTCTGCCACCCATGCCTTATGCTCTACAATTGTCCTTGTGTCATCTAGTAGTGTCTATGACTTGAAGCTGAGTGTGATTCATTCTGGAGTTTACCTTTAGAGATCACACTTGGCCCACATCTAAACTATGCCCACCAATGGAATATTACCAATAAAAAGGCAGTATTTTCATTCTAAACCATTTCTGGGACAATTTATCATTAGGCTCTGAAATGTACAGGGAGCAGGACTGTGATACACAGTTGTCCTTTAAACAACATGGGTTTGAAATGTCTGGGTCCAATGCAAGCAGATTGTTTTTTCAGTAAATACATTCAGTATTATAAATGTATTTTCTCTTCCTTATGATTTTCTTAATGATATTTTCTTTTCTCTAGCTGACTTTATTGTGAGTATAGTATATAGCACATAGAACATATGAATTATATATTAATTGACTTTTCATGTTATCTGTAAGTTTTCCAGTCAACAATAGGCTATTAGTTAAACTTGGGAGGAGTAAAAAGTTTCATGTAGATTTTCAACTGCAAAAAGGACCCCTAACTTGCACACTGTTCAAGGGTGAACTGTATTGGTCTAATATAACTAAAACTGCTGAAATCAATCATATACTACAAGAGGATGTAAAAATTCACCTACCTTTTCTCAAGACTTGAGATATCACAGAAATTTCTCTCAACATTCAATACCTTATTTATTGCCAAAGTCAAAAAGCTAAAACTATTCGTATCTTGGGAATATAAGTAAAATGTAAAAGGAAAGTCAAATGAAAAGCTAATTCAAAAATATCCCAGTTACTCAGCCACCTTATAAGTGCACCTTAATTAATGTGTATGTGCATCAATTGTACCTGTATAAATATGCGTTTCTTTATAACAGCAAAAAAGTTAGCCTAATATCAATGATGCATTCACCTGGATCCTCTGCAGACTCTACCTCAACTCTCATCTACACATGGCTCTGTTGTATCCTAACCTCATGCACTTTCTCTTTTTATAGATAAAATTTCATCTTACACACATTATTTATACCATGTTTGAGGGAGTAACTGCTGATTAACTTATTCATATCTAGGGAGTAATATTTACTTAAATATTCTTAAATCTTACCCTGCTAACAATATATTCAGACATAAGATTATCAGTTTACAGGCCATCCATCCTTCATTGTTTTTTCTTTCCCTATTTTATATGTATTTTGTATTCTAAACATATGCTTTATAATTCTTATCTTGAATCTTATCTACTAGGTATTTGTCCTACTAGATACCCATAATCAGTAAAGTTAAAATATGGTCACAGAACATATTTGAGTCAAATTTTTATTCCCTAATATTTAGGATAATGCCCTTTGGTTCTGTAAACTGAGTGACTCTAATAAAATGTTAAAGTATTTTTTCTTCCATTTTTAAATTATCTTTTCCATTATTGCCTAAGAATATCTTCTCAAAAGATGGTAGTTACACTAAAAATACACTCTGAGAAGAATGGGAATACAAACTGTATTTTGACTTTAGTGATTTTTTGCACTCTCCCCATCTGCAATTCTTTCCACCTGAACACACAATAAAAGATTGGAAGTGTGGGGGTGGGAGAGGAGGTGGATGGAAATTACTCTCTGAGCATATTTATTATGCCAACAATGCAATTTAATTCATCTTTGATGGTGTGCAATTAGGTATTAAAATTTCTCATAACTAGAAGCGTTCTCGGTCAGTGGGAATTACTGTAGATAATTTCAGGTAACCTGGGAATAATTTGGCTAGCTGGAAGGTCTAAACTCACATATAAAGCATTCAGTTTAGGGAAAAATTGATTTGTTCTTCATATTAATCCTCTGCTTAACAATGTTGGGAAATGCAAGTTCACATAAAACCTGAGGAGGAAACCAGTAATTCTTTTATATTTTAAAGTAAATTTATAAAGGCACTATAGGGCAATGAAAAATGGTCCCCCAAATCATAATTTTTTCAAGGGTTAATTATTCTTGCACAAAATTAAGAGTTTTATTTACTGTACATTATTGGTTTAATTTGGATTCCTATTCCTATTTTTATTAGTTGCCTTCATTTTATTTTCTCAGATTTTCTTTCTCTTATAACAGTGTTGCCAAAGGAAAAATGAGGTGGGGAAGAAGTAAGCATATTAATATAAGTTGGATAGATTTCTCAAATATGTATGGCAATTCTACAACTTCAAATTCTGATCACATTCTACATTCCTGGAATACTTTTGGCATTGTATACGCATCAAGAAAACAATAACAGAGTAGGGGGAAAAGAGTAGGTTAAGCAATGTTAGGAGTAAATAGGTGTGGACAGAAAGAAGAGGGATTTCAAGTAGCTAAATGTCATATTATTCTTGTTTCCATTTACACTATAATACTTAGCTATAATTCAGTAAAAACTGAACTCACTGTCAATTGACAAGCCACAAGTAATTCATAAAGTGACAGATAATTGAGCAACAACCACTACCTTTGAACTATGGATACATTTATTTTAGACATACTTCATGGGAGATGTAACTATAATGGCTGTGTATATGGCTGGTGTGAGAAAGGAGTTGATAGAAAGCACACAGAACATAATATATGCAGACATTTTGATAGCACTAATCACCAGAAAAAAAACCTGCTTCAAAATTTACATGAACAAATATAACATTATGGATATTCTCTTAAAACATGTCATTTAAAATGGAAATAATACAGTCAACTCAATGACAAAAGCATGTTTTAAGTTTTAGAGAGTGACTAGTTATCCTCTGAAATTTTAAAGAATATTCTGCTTTAAATCAAACATAAAACATAAAAGTTTTTTAAATAAAAGTATTAGGGAAAAATTTTTGGTCACATGTCTCACTGTGATACACATTAAACACAATAAAGCAAAATAGACAAACAAAAGAAAACCAATCCACTGATACTCACTTAGCATGACGAATATCGGGCAGCGACCTCTCTAGAGCAATATTGTTGCTGACAAAGATATTGAAGCCATTTTCCCTGTAAGCCGAGTCATCATGGTCCTCTTCAGTGAGGGGGTAAGGTTTCCCATGTTCACCTTTCCCTAGCAGGAGAAAAGAAAATAGGATCATCATCTGTATAAAAACTATTCCACTTTCTAACACAGATAATACAACTTGGGAGTATATATTTCTTTAGTTGCCTGTTTTATGCTCTACAGAAGGCTATAGCATTAAGATTTTGTTATACCATATTATTTTATTTAGGAAAAAAAGATAGGTTTTCAGTGTATGTTCCTTAACATTTGCATTCTAATATACATGCAGCTTCATAATTTGATTTTATCTAAGTGTATGAAAAATCTATCTTTTCATATACTTCCAATGATTAATATTATTCTATTGTATTCCAGTTTATACTGTTCCACTGAAAATACTTTATTTTTAAGTTTTCCTATTAAATACAATGTTGAAATGAACATCTTTTTATATATTCCTAAATATGTAGTTTTGGAGAAGAGAGTGCAATTCCTACAAACAGAAATGCCAGAATATCTTCAGAGTAAGTATGATAGCTTTCACTCATCCTCAGAAGGACTGGATAATAATTTTGAAATGTGCTGCTGAAATATATGTTATTCATACTTTAATTTGTCTTGATTACTAATGAAATTAATAACTTTATATATTTATCACTTGTATTTCTTACATTGCTAAGTGATTGTTCAGTTTTTAAAGAACAACTTGTATGTTTATAGAAAACAAAATTTACTTTGCTTACTAAAGTTCTGTTAAATACATATGTTGCAAATATTTTTTTACTTAATTGAAACTAATTTAAGACTTCTTTCTAGTTCTCCATGCATGGAACTTACGACTTCACCCTAACAACAAGTAAAAAGCTGAACAGACTGAAAAATGAACTCTTCTTGGATCTGAAAGAGAGGCAAAAACACAGGGCAAATTGCTGCCCCCAAAATCAGAAGAACAGACCGGAAAATACAGGAAGTTGAGGCTTACCAGACATGGAGTCAGGAATGGAAGTGGCTTGGGAACTGGTGCCAGGACAGAAAAATCTGAAGTCATTGACATTGCTGGAGGCTCAGAGCAGACAAGTCTGAGAGTTAAACGTTCCAATCGAAGGTACCTAGCGTTAAGGGACTCCGATACTTTTGTGAGATTTACCTCTAGAAGCTCAGCCAGGCTCAAAGAGTAAACACGGAGGAGAAACCCCTCCCGTGATTCCAGTAAGGGAAGGAGAAAAGGAGCCATTTTGGAGTAGGTCCAACAACACTCTGCCTCTTAATAAGGCCTCTCCTCAGGAGAAACTAGTTAACCTGAGCCCCAGCTGTTGGACCTTTATCAAAGCATAATTGAGGTGGGAGAAGAGAAAAATCCAGATTCAGCCCATTTGAGCTATCCCATCCAACCAAAGGTGGGAGGAAAAAAACATGAGAAAATGTTATGAAGTTCACAGGCCAGAGGCATGGGTGCACCAAAAACCTGATCATAACCCTATAGAGAACACTGTCCCTCTCCACGCCTTATCCTCACATTACTAGCCTATTTATAGTAATTCATTTTACCCAGCACATCATGTCCACCTGCGAAGAACAGTCACGAGGCATACCAAACAGCAGAAAAACATGATTTGAAGACAGAGAGCAAACATCAGAACTAGATGTGGCAGGAATGTTGGAATTATCAAACTGGGAATATAAAACAGTTATGGTTAATACACTAAGGGCTCTATGGGAAAGAAAATAGCATGTAAGAACAGATCAGCAATGTAAACAGAATGATGGAAGTTCTATGAAACAGCCAAAAAAAAAAAAAGCCAAAACCAAAAACAAAACGAAAACTAAAACCCCCCCAAAAAAAGAAATGCTGGTGATAAAAAACATTGTAACAGAAATAAAGAATGCCTTTGGTGGGCTTATTAGTAGGCAGGACACAGCTATGGAAATAACCTTTGAGCTTGAGGATATACTATTAGAAGTCTAAAACAAAAAGCAAACAGAAAAAAAGACCATTGGAACAGAATATCCAAGAACTTCAGGACAACTACAAAAAGTATAACATACATGTAATAGGAGTAACAGAAGGGGGAGAAAGAGAGAACGGAACAGAAGAAATATTGGAAACAATGACTGAAAATTTACCCAAATTAATGTCAGATACCATGCCACATATCCAAGTTGAGAGAACACCAAACAGCATAAATGCCAAATAACAACAAAGCTACACCTAAACATGTCATTTTCAAAGTAAAGAAATAAAAGATAAAGAAAAAAATACTTAAAGAAGCAACACTGAAAGGAAAAGAAATCAACAGAGACAAGAGGGAAGGGGGGGGCAGGGAAAGGGAAGGGAAGGGGAAAGTCAAGGAACATATAGCAAGGACTCATGGACAAAACCAAAGGGGAAGAGCTGAGGGAGGGAAGGTGGGAGGGGGCAAGGGAAAGAGGTGGGGAGAAGGCAGAGACAAATGTATTTAAAAAGTAAATAAATTAATTAAAAATAAAAAAAAGAAGCCAAAGAAAAAAAATCTAACCTACAGAGGAGCAAAGAATTATACCAGACTTATCCTCAGAAACGATACAGGCAAGGGAAGAATGGACTTGAATAAATAGTTGAGAGAAAAAATAAAAACACCAACCTATAATTCTGTACCCTACAAAATTATCCTTTAAAAGTAAAGAAGTAAAGACTTATTCAAACAAACAAATATTGAGGAAATTTGTTGTCAGTAGACCTGCCTTGTAAGAATTGTCGAAAGAAAGCTTTAGAGAGAAGGAAAATAATATAGGTCAGAATCTTGAATCCACATAAAGAAGGGCAAACACTGAAGAAAGAATAAGGGAAGGTAAAATAAAAACAGAGACTTTTATTTTTCTTACTCTTAATTGCTGTTAAAATTTGCTCAATTAATACAAACGTATTAGATTATATATGCTTATGTATATAAGGGTATATAGTATACATATACACTTATGTATGCTTATATAAAAGTGAAATAAATGACAATAGTGATATAGGAAATGGGAGAAAGGAATTAAGCTTATTTTGTTATTTGATATTATAAGGTATTCATTCATATTACATGTGAAGCAATGTAGCATTATTTGGAAACGAACTTGGATTAGTTGAAATTGTATATTACAAACTCTAGGGCAACCATTTAAAAATGAAAAATAAGTGTAACTGATATGCTAAGAAAGGAGAGAAAATAATATAAAATCCCCAATTAAAACAGTAAAAGGCAGAAAAATAGCAAAAACAAAAAACAGAACAGGAACAAGGGCAACAAATAGAAAACGGTAAAAAATATGGTGGCTATTAAACAATATCAGTAATCACTTTGAATGTCAGTCGTCTAAATTTAGCACTGATTAAAAGACAAATTCATCAGAGTTGATCAAGATAGATCTAAGATTTTTTCCATCCACATGATTTTGTTTTTTCTTTCATTGCTTCTTATTTACATGCTATATTATAAATAAGTTCTTTTTCATTCCAATATTATTGTTTAAATTCATCCATGAACTCAGAGTTTAACTAATATTTTATTTTATTTAATCCATTATAATTTTTGAACCATCTGGTACTTATTTTTGTGTGAGAAATGAGAAAAGTCTCATATTTATTTTTTTCACAAATGGTTAGGTAGGTGTAGGAATGGCATTTAATGAATAATTTGTCTTTTCCTTTGCTGCCTTAAAATGCCACACACAAATTTTTTGCACTATTTCTGTGAATATTTAGGAACGTCCACAAAAATTTGTTTTTCTTTTCTGTCAATTTTTACCTTGTAACACTGTGGCACTAACACAATTTGGTATTTTGCAGAGTCTTTTCACTCGCTATATTCTTTTTCAGACTATTATCCCGTTTATTTTTCTATGTAAACTTTAGACTCCTTTTACCATTTAATTAAATGACCATTTGGGTTTTATTTTGGAATTACATTAATTTATTTGTTCACCTTTGAATAAGTGAGATTTTTATATATCTTAATTTTTCAAGGCTCTTTCCCTTGGATGTCAGTGAAATTTTACACAATTTTCTTTATTTAAGTCCTATGCATTTTTGTTAACTTTTACTAGGTATGTTTTCCTTCACTGTCCTTTCTTTCACACACTAAAGTTATTCATTTATATGCCTATTTGTCAACTAGTTACATTACTGAACTCATTTTTTCTAATATATGTATATAGTTTATATATATATTTATCTCAGGTATTTTCAAGGTATGCATTATTTTATTTCAAATAATATTTATTCCCTCCTCTTACATTTTTCTTCATGGGTACCATGTGTCAGATTTCTTGTTTAATTCTATAGTTAACAACAAATAACATTGGTGTCAACAGGCATTACTCAGGTAATGACTTTAAAGAGATTTCTGCTAAACATTGAAAATGTAAGTTGTGTACTGAATATTTGTTTCTGAGTGTGTGTGTATGTATATAACTTGGCATGTTAAGAAAAGACCTTTTTAGTGCCTATTAACTAAAGGTTGTTTATCATAAATAGAACAAATTTTACCAAATTCTTTTTCAAAAATTTTAGAGATTTACACTTTTCACTTTATTAAGTTTTGACTTTGTGATATTTTGTTTTTAATTACTCAAAATTTTCAGACTAATGTTGATGTCATTAGTCAATTTGGCTTTGATGTTTTTAGTCAATTTGGCTTCTATAGCAGTATTCTCTCATATAGAAATGAAAGCTTTTCTTTCACCTTGCCTTCTGCCCTAATGACATTAACCTCAGTAGAGCTGACAGCCAAGATGAAACATTTAGGGACTAATAAGAAATTATATGCTCCAGAAGCAGACTAAAAATCTCTCCAATTTAAATGGAGAAAAACCAACAAACAAAATTAACTGTTTCATTTTGGGCATCAAAAAAGAAAAATAGTAGATCTTGCCTGTTTCCTTGTTTTGATTTCTTAGGAAAAAATGCCACTCACTTTTGTAAATTAAATACAAAATAAATAAGTGTGAGAAATTTCATTTGCATAACAGCTAATTTTTGAGCATCCACTCTACACCAAATACCATGTTAAATCATTTTATATACATGTTTTGTTCAACACTTT